CATGTCTCCACTCTCTCTCCCTCTTTACCATTCTCCACTCTCTCTCCTCTTTACCATTCTCCACTCTCTCCTCTTTTAACCATCTCTCACTCTTCTCTTTACATGTCTTCTCTCTTTCTCTCTCCTTTTTACCATGTCTCCACTCTCTCCTCTTTATATGTCTTCTCTCCCTTTTACCATGTCTACTTTCTTCCACTTCCTCTCTCTCTCCTCTTTACCATTCCTCCACTCTCTCCCTCTTTACCATGTTCCACACTCTCTCCCTTTTACCATGTCTCCACTTCTCTCCTCCTTCTATGTATCCCTCTTCTCCTCTCTTTCTCCTCTCTTTACCATGTCTCCACCTCTCCTCTTTACCATGTCCTCCACTCCTCTCCTCTTTCAATGTCTCTCTCTCCTCTTTAACATCTTCTCCACTTTCTCCTCTTTACCTCTCCACTCTCTCCTCTTTAACCATGCTACCATGTCTCCAACACTCTCTCCTCTTTCTCTTTCTCCACTCTCTCTCTCCTTTACCTCTATCTCTCTTTCATTCTCTCCTCTCTCCTCTTTACCTCTTCTCTCTCTCTCCTCTTTACCATGTCTCCACTCTCTCCTCTTTACCATGTCTCCACTCTCTCCTCTTTACCATGTCTCCACTCTCTCTCCTCTTTACCTCTTCTCCACTCTCTCTCTTTTACCATTCCTCCACTCTCTCCTCTTTACCATGTCTCCTACTCCTCCTCTTTCTATTCCTCCACTCTCTCCTCTTTTCCATTCTCCACTCTCTCCTCTTTTCCCATTCTCCATTCTTCTCCTCTTTTACCTATGTCTCCTCTCTCTCTCCTCTCTTTACCCACTCTCTCCACTCTCTCTCTTTTTACTCACTCTCTCCTCTTTCTCCTCTCCTCTTTTTCTCCTCCTATGTCTCCTCTTCTCCTTTCGGTCTCTCTTTCCTCTTTACCTCTTCTCCACTCTCTTCTCTTTCCATCCTCCACTCTCTCCTCTTCCAACTCTCTCTCCTTTACCATTCCTCCACTTTCTCCTCTTTACCATGTGTCTCACTCTCTCTCCTTTACCATTCTCACTTTCTCCTCTTTACCATGTTCTCTCTTACCATGTCTCCACTCTCTCTCCTACCATTCCTCCACTTTCTCCTCTTTACACTCTCTCCTCTTTACCTCTTCTCCACTCTCTCCTCTTTACCATGTCTCCACTCTCTCTCCTTTACCATTCCTCCACTTTCTCCTCTTTACCATGTCTCCTCTCTCTCTCCTCTTTACCTCTTCTCCACTCTCTCCTCTTTACCATGTCTCCACTCTCTCTCCTTTACCATTCCTCCACTTTCTCCTCTTTACCATGCTCCTCTTTACCATGTCTCCACTCTCTCTCCTCTTTACCAAAGGGGAAGTGGAACAAGGCCATCCACTTAAAGAGGGAAATCCGTGGAATTTCGTCTTGACCTGAATTCCTACAGCGGGTTAAGCGAGGTCAAAGGAGGGGAGTGATGGTGACCTAACACCCATAGCGTCATCTGTCCGAAAATATGTAAAATATGTACATATGGATTCTACAGAAAAGGTTCTGTGGATCAGCTGTAACGCAATGTATTAACTATAGGCCTACTGCTTTGTATATCTTATTAAGAATATTCAATTAATTAGCTAATTGAGATAAGGCGAAAGGTGATTTATCTTCCTCATTTTGAATTAATACGCGTTTAGATTAACACCGCACAAGGTCCAGAACAAAAACCTTGTAGTGTTAAATAATCTTATTTTTTATATATTTATCTATTCATTCGTTCATTTATCATTATTATTATTATCCTCATCATTATATCATCATTATCCTCGTCACCATCATTATCACCATCATCATCTTATCATCATCATCATAATCATTATCATAACTTATAACTTATCATAATCATTATCATAACTTATATAGTGTTGAAACAGAAAGAATTATCTCATAAAACGAAGAATTTACTATTTATATAATCATATAAATGAATATTACCTAAAACCTAAGAATTCACGATGCTGATTTCAGAATTTCTGCATAATTAATAAAAAAAAAACTTTGGTTCCAAGAAAAGTCGAAAGATGAAATTGTGACGTCTTAAAGAATGTATTTTGAGAGTCATAAAAATATGACCATAAAAGCATGTCCTAATAAGAAATAATGAGAAGAACGCAAGGATTTCTTTTGAAAATGAAATAAAGATTCGATAAGTTAACATCCTTGTAAGGCAAACCATTAAAAAAATACTTTAAACGGCAACATTACTTATAATCTAACCTAATGACATGATAAAAATGGGGACAGGGTTTATCATCATCACCATTATCAATTTCATTATCATCATTATTACCATTATTAAACTTCTAAAATCCTCCTCCTCATTATTATCATTTTATAATCCTTATTAGACCTCTAAAACCACCCTTCTCTCATTATTTTATTATCATTATTAGACCCCTCAAATCGTCCTTCTCATCATTATCATTTTATAATCCTTATCAGACCTCTAAAACCATCCTTCTGTAAAATATTTCTTCTGTGACAATAACAAAACCTTCCTTTGGTCCCAGCCGGATTTTTCGTTTAGTCATGGCATCCCAGCGTCTTCTAAAAATAGCCTTATGACAACAAACACGGAGGGAAAAGTATCTGACAACACGCAGTAATGCAGGTAAGACCACACGCACTAAAGCACTTACACACAAACCGAGGCGATCACGAATAAACACACATGAAGCCACAAACACGCAAAAAAACACAGACACACGAACACATCCATATAGTTACACACACATGTAAACACTCAACACGCACGGAAGTACAGGTATACATGCACGGTGGGGAGGGGGGGTACACCACATGGGATGATACGAAAATTAGCTTGAGAAGAGAGAAGAGAAGAGAAGAAGAGAGGAAAGAGGGAGGGAGACAGATACAGAGACAGTGACAGTGTGAGAGAGAGAGAGAGAGAGAGAGAGAGAGAGAGAGAGAGAGAGAGAGAGAGAGAGAGAGAGAGAGAGAGAGAGAGAGAGAGAGAGAGAGAGAGAGAGAGAGAGAGAGAGAGGAGAGAAGAGAGGGAGAGAAGAGGAGAGAGAGGGAGAGGGAGGGGGAGGGAGAGGGAGAGGGAGAGGGAGAGGGAGAGGGAGATAGACAGACAGAAATATAGATAGATAGATAGATAGATAGACAGATAGAGAGAGATAAAGAGAGAAGATACACAGAAATAGAAACAGAGACACAAAATACTAAGACAGAGAAGAGACAGAGAGAACACAACATACGAGAAGAAGAGAAGAGACACAGACACAGAGTCAGAAACAGAAACAGAACTAGAGACACAGAGAAAAAATAAAAACCAACAACATAAAAGAGAAATTCACACAAAGACCCTCACAGCCCCTCACAACCTCACCTTCAAGTTAATCCTGCTCACTTGGGTCGAGAGACACTTAGTGATGTGGTCGTAGTACTCGGGGTCCTCTTTGCTCACCGTCTTCACCACTTTCTCCGCTATTTCGAAGACCTCCTTGTAGCTCTTCATGCAGTGGCGACTCACCAGGTCCAAGTAAGAGGCTAGGGTCATCATGTGTGTCTCTGGGTGGGGTTGGAACACAGTAAGGACGGGGGGGGGATTTTTTGTGTGTGTGGATGGGTATGGGTGTATGTTTATTTTTGTTCATGTTAATTATTCATTTATTTATTTTATCTATTATTACTATTATTATTATTTATCGTTATTATTATATTATTATTATTATTTATTATTATTATTATTATATTATTATTATTTATCGATTTCATTATCATCTTATCTATTATTATATTATTATTATCATATTTATTATTTATTTCATTTATTTATGTGTGTGTGTGTGTGTGTGTGTGTGTGTGGTGTGTGTGTGTGTGTGTGTGTGTGTGTGTGTGTGTGTGTGTGTGTGTGTGTGTGCGTGTGCGTGTGCGTGTGCGTGTGCGTGTGCGTGTGCGTGTGCGTGTGTGCGTGTGCGTGTGCGTGTGCGTGTGTGCGTGTACGTGTACGTGTACGTGTACGTGTGCGTGTACGTGTGCGTGTGCGTGCGCGTGTGTGCGTGCGCGTGTGTGTGTGCGCGTGTGTGCGTGTTTGTGGTATATGTGAATGTTGTGTGCGTGTTCCTGTATGTTTTGTGTGCCTGGGTGTGCGTGTGCGTGTGCGTGTGTGTGAGTGTTTGCATCGTGTTCCTGTGTGTTTGTGTGCCTGGGTGTGAGTGTTTGTGTGCGTGTTCCTGTGTGTTTGTGTGCGTGTGTGCCACTACTTACATCATGCATTTACATTTTAACGTAACTTTTTATACGCAAATATTTCAATATACATATATATACACCTGAATTTCTAAAACTGCTTATGTAGTATATAAACCCTTGGATCAATATACAGTACACGCGTAACAGCATAAACACATCAACTAGATGTGAGAGGGGAGAGAGAGAGAGAGAGTGGGAGGAGAGAGAGAAGAAGAGAGGGAGAGAAGAGAAAGGGGGAGAAGGAGGAAGGGAGGAAGGGAAGGAGGGAAAAGAGGGAGGGATGGAGGGAGGAGGAAGGGAGGGAGGGAGGGAGGGAAAGGAGGGAGGGAGGGAGGGAAGGGAAGGGAGGAAAGATAGAGAGAGAGAGAGAGAGAGAGACAGAAAAAAGAGAGAGAGGGAAGAGAAACACACAGACAGAGAAAGAGAGAGAGAAACAGCAATAGCGAGAATACAACCAAAGGCATACAACCAAACAGACACACAAAAACAAAGACAAATCAACCACCTCCCCCGCCGTCTTCCTCATTCTCTCCCCTCACCGTCTTCCTCATTCTCTCCCCTCACCGTCTCTCATTCTCCTCCTCATCTTCCCCCCTCACGCGTCTCCTCATTCTCCCCTCACTCACCGTCTTTCCTCATCTCCCTCATCGTCTCCTCATTCTCTCTCACCGTCCTTCCCTCATTCTCACCTCTCCCGTCTTCCCTCATTCTCCCCCTCACCGTCTCCCTCATCTCCCTCTCTACCGTCTTCTCATTCCTCCCGCCCCACCGTTCTCCTCCCTTCTCCCCCTCACCGTCTCCCTCATTCTCATCCCTCACCGTCTCCCTCATTCTCCCCCTCACCGTCTTCCTCATTCTCCCCCCTCACCGTCCCCCCATTCCTCATACCCCTCCCGTCCCTCATTCTCCCCCTCACCGTCTCCTCATTCTCCCCCTCACCTGTCTCCTCATTCTCTCCCTCACCGTCTTCCTCATTCTCCCCCCTCACCGTCTCCCCATTCTCCCTCTCACCGTCTTCCTCATTCTCACCCCTCACCGTCTCCCTCATTTTCCCCTCACCGTCTTCCTCATTCTCCCCCTCACCGTCTTCCTCATCCTCCTCTCTCCCCTCACCGTCTCCTCATTTCTTCCTCCCTCCCACCGTCTTCTCATTCTCCCTCCCATTCCCCTCTCCCCCTCCCGGTCTTCCCTCTTCTCTCATCCACGTCTCCCTCATTTCACCGTCGTCCTCATTCTCCCCCCTCTACCGTCTTTCCTCATTCTCCCCTCACCGTCTCCCTCATCCTCTCCCCCTCACCGTCTCCCTCATTCTCCCTCACCGTCTCCTCATTCTCCCGCTCCTCCCTCCCTCCTCCCTCCTCTCCTCCCTCATTCTCCTCCCTCACGCTCCCTCCCTCCCTCCCTCCTCATTCTCTCCCTCACCGTTTCCTCATTCTCTCCGTGTTCAGCAGCAAACTGCAGCGGGATGAGCCAGTAGATCTGAGCCACGGAAAACTGCTTCGAGTGGACGTCCAGGATATTGAGCGTCCGCGTCGTCTGGATCATGTGCTCGTCCGTGTCCAAGGTCGCGAGGCAGGCCGTGTTGTCGTAGTTCTGAGAGGAGGGAGAGAAAGAGGTTGGGGGGAGGGGTATTCGTGGTTCATGGGCTGTGAGAGGGAAAGAGGGGGTGGTGTGGTTCATGGCCTGTGTTATTGTTCTATAAGGGAGAGAAAAAGAGGTTGTAGATATGTCGTAGTTCTGACAGGAGAGAGAGAAAGAGTTTGGGAGGGAGGAGGGGTGATTCGTGGTTATGGGCTTGAGAGGGAGAGAGGGGGTGTCGTGGTTCATGGGCGTAGAGAGAGAAAGAGGGAGTTGCGTGGTTCTGGGCTAAGTGGACGTTTTTCTAAGAGGAGAGAGAAAAAGGGGGGGGGGTGATTATGTTCATGGGCTGTGTTGTCGTAGTTCTGAGAGGAGAGAGAGAAAGAGGTGGGGGAGGGAAGGGGTTATTCGGGTCATCATGAGCTGTGATAGGGAGAGAGGGGGCTGCGTGGTTCATGGCCTGTGTTATTGTTCTAAAGGGGAGAGAAGAAAGAGGGGGGAGGGGTTCGTGGTTCATGGGGCTGTGTTGTCGTAGTTCTGAGAGGAGAGAGAAAAAGAGGTTGGGGGGGGGGGGTTATTCGTGGTTCATGGGCTGTAAGAGGGAAATAGGGGGTGGTGTGGTTCGTGGGATATGTTGTCGTAGTTCTGAGAGGAGAGAGAAAAAAGAGGTGGGGGTGATTCGTGGTTCATGGGCTGTGAGAGGGAAAGAGGGGGTGGTGTGGTTCATGGGCTATGTTGTCGTAGTTCTAAGGAGAGAGAGAAAAAGAGGTGGGGAGGGGTGAAGGGTTATTCGTGGTTCATGGGTTGTGAGAGGGAGAGATGGGGCTGGTTCATGGCCTGTGTTATAGTTTCTAAGAGGTGAGAGAAAGAGGGGGGAGGGGCTCGTGGTTCATGGACTGTGTTGTCGTAGTTCTGAGAGGAGAGAGAGAAAGAGGTTGGGGTGGGTGATTCGTGGTTCATTGGCTGTAAGAGGGAGAGAGGGGTGGTGTGGTTCGTGGGATATGTTGTCGTAGTTCTGAAGAGAGAGAGAGAAAGAGGTGGGGGGAGGGGTTATTCGTGGTTCATTTGGGCTGTGAGAGGGAAAGAGGGGATGGCGTCGTTCATGGAATATGTCGTAGTTCTGAGAGGAGAGAGAAAAAGAAGGGGGGGGCGGGTGATTGGTGGTTCATGGGCTAAGTGGACGTAATTCTAAGAGAGAGTAAAAGAGGGGAGGGGCTGACGCGTGTTTCATGGGCTGTGATGTAGATATGTTGTCGTAGTTCTGAGAGGAGAGAGAAAAAGAGGTGGGGGGTGGTTATCGTGGTTCATGGGGTTGTAAAGAGGGAAAGAGGGGGTGTCGTGGTTCATGGGCTAAGTGGACGTACTTCTAAGAGGAGTTAGAAAGAGGGGGAGGCTAGTGGTTCATGGGCTGTGAGGGAGAAAGAGGGAGCGGCATGCTTCATGGGCTGTGTTGTCATAGTTCTAAGAAGAGAAAGAAGGACTGGCTTTTGGCTTGAGTGGTTTCATTAGACTAAGATATAATTATCATTAATCATTATTACCGCATCTTTATTAATAGTAAGGTAATATTAGGTATAACAGCTTATTAACGTTGATGATGATGAGAGAAGGGGTGGCTTGTGACTTGTGTCATGTCGCCAGTGGATTGTGACTTATGTGTTCTTACTGCATCTTCAATAATGAGGTAATTTATGTATTCACGTGACAATAATTCTAACACGATTGTTGATGTTGATGATGATAGTAGAAGTAATTAGGTTTGTATTCGTAACAATCATTTTGGTAATTGGAAAACTGAATAGATGAATTCAGTGAAGTGAGTCCTGTGTATTCAGAAATACAAACAGTGTTAAGAATCAGACAAAAAAAAAAAGAAAAAAAATCAAATAAATCATCACAATATATATTCCTCACTCTACTAAAAAAAAAAAAACAAAAAAAAAAAAAAAAAAAAAAAAAAAAAAAAAAAAAACGTAAATATAAAGCTAGAGCTCTTACAAAACAACAAAATATAACCACAATATAACCTCACTGCCCACCTCGATGATGGGGCGATCGATCATATACAACAAAACAAAAAGGAATGATGAAAAAGTAAAGAAAAGAAAGAAAGACACAAAAAATTAACCACACAGACGAAGATCAAGACCCCTACACACACCTAAAAGAAAAAAAAATGCTTCTCACCTCATTCACAGCGTGATTGAAAAACCTAGAGATCAAAATAATAATCACAAATCAACAAAACAAAACAACCAAAGAGAAAAAAACAACAACAGAATACCAAGACCCCCCCCCCAAAAAAAAAAAAAAAAAAAAAAAAAAAAAAAATATATATATATATATATATATATATATATATATATATATATAATACAAAAAAACATAAAAAAAAGTTCCTCACCTCATACCAAGACCCTCCCCACAATATATATATATATATTATATATATAATATATATATAATAATAATAATAATAGAAATAATAAAATTCTCCTCACCTCAATAACAGCGTGATCAATAACCTTCCAGTTATTACTCCTTATGGCCCTGTCCACACCCTGCGCCTTCATCTCCTTGGCGAGCGTCTTGTCGAAGTTCCTCTTGACCAGCTCCTTCAAGTCGTCCTCCGGCTTGGGCTTCAGCTTGACGGCTTCCTTCTCCTTCAGGAACTCCCACCAGAAGAACCGGCGGAGTACGGGGGGCAGGCCGAGGTGGCGCTCGCGGATCCTGAGGGTGGGGAAGAAGGTGGATTGTGGGTGGGGGAATAGGTGGATTGTGGCGGGATAAAAGGTGGATTGTGGGTGGGGGAAAGGAGTGGATTCTGAGGGTGGGAAGAAGGGGGATTGTGTTTAGCTTTTTAAGTATATGGGGAAATATAAACATTTGCATTCTTATATATGCGTGTGTGTGTGTGTGTCTATCTCTTCTCTCTCTCTCTCTCTCCGTCTCTTCTCTCCCTCCCACTCTTTCTATCTCTCTCTCTCTCCTCCCTCCCTCTCTCTCTCTCTCTCTCTCTCTCTCTCTCCTCTCTCTCCTCTCTCTCTTTCTCTCTCTCTCTCTTCTCTCTCTCCTCTCTCACTCCCTCTCTCTCTATCCCTATCTCCTCTCTTTCTCTCTCCCTATCTCCGTCTCTTTTTCTCTCCCTCCCACTCTTTCTCTCTCTCTCTCTTCTCTCCCTCTCTCCCTCCCTCTCCCTCTCCCTCTCCTCTCCTCCCCATCTCCCTTCCCTCCCCTCTCCCTCACTCCCTGACCTCTCCATGTACTTCCACTTGAGCGCCTCGTCGTGGGCGATGAAAGCGACGAGGGCGCGGCCGGCGATGTCCGAAGGCTTGGTCCCCGCGTTCATCTTCTGCGCCCTCCGCCTCGCCAGCTCCAGCTCGTCGTCCGTATCGTTGCCCTCGTCGGTGTCGAAGCCGTAGCCGAAGTCGCCGCCGCCGCCGCCGCCGTCGTTTCCCGCGTTCCGTTTGCGTTTCTCTTCCTTCTGGCGCTGTTTCTCGGCTTCCTGGAGGAGGAAGGAGGAGGAGGGGAAGGGGGAGTGATGAAGGAGGGGAGGAGGGGTGGAGGGGGAGAGGTAGGAAGGAGAGGAGGAGGAGGAGGGGGGGAGGTAGAAGAGGAGAAGGTAGGAGGGTGGAAGGGGAGAGGGAGTGATGAAGGAGGGGAGGTAGGAGGAGGAGGGGGGAGGAGGAGCAGGAGAAGGAGAAGGAGGGGAGAGTAGGAGGGAGGAGGATGTAGAATGGTGAAGGACAGGAGGTAGGAGGGAGGAGGGTGGAGGGGGATGGTAGGAGGGGGAGGAGGTAGAGGGTGGAGGGGGAGGGAGGAGGAGGAGGAGGAGGAGGAGGAGGGGCAGAGGTAGGAGGGAGGAGGAAGGTGAGGAGGAGAGGTAGGAGGGAGAAGATGTAGGAGGGTGGAGGAGAAGGAGGAGGGGACAGGAGGAGGAGGAGGAGGAGGAATGGTAGGAGAGAAGAGGGAGGAGGAGAAGGAGGAGGGGGAGAGGTAGGAGGGAGGAGAGGACGAAAAGTAGGAGGAGTGAGGAGGGGGAGGGGGGGGAGGAGAGGAAAAGAGGAAGAGGGAGGAGGAGGAAAAAAGAAGAAAAATAAAAAATATCATGTAAACGGGAATTAACCTTTCTTTACAAAACTTTATTCGAATCAATATCCATATAATATAATTTTCTACTCCTTATGCTATCTCATCCTCATCACACTGCATCTAAATCCTTTTCAGACAGAGAAATGTTTTTATCGTTTTTTTTCACCACTTCCTTGTATTCTAATCTCCACAGCCTCACTAACTAATCCTATAAACCAATCAACTAACCAATCGTGACCTATCCTCGCCAACTTCCTCAATTCCTAATCCTCGACCAGTCATCCTTACTCAATCCTTACTCAACTAATCCAGATAAAGCTATCTCAACCCAACTAATCCCTTTCTGTTATCCTACCAATCTCCCAATCAACGAATCCTGAATCCAAGCAGTTCCCACTAACACATCATAATCAAAGCTATTTCAATCTTAAACATCTAATCCTCGCCAACCAATCTTCGTCAAGCTATTCCAACCCACCCAATCTTTGCCTTTTTTTATAAACCCAATCACCCCAAACCAGTCCTTATCCAATCAGTTCTTACCAATCCCCCCAAACAGTCCTTATCCAATCAGTTCTTGCCAATCCCCTAAAACAGTCCTTATCCAATCATTTCTAGCCAATCCACCAACCAACTCTTACCCAACCAATCAGAATCAAGCTATCCTAACCGAACCAATCCTACCTCCTGGAACATAATATTTCCTGCCAACCAATTTTCGTCAAGTTATTCCAAAACCACCCCTGTCCACCTCTTACCCAGCCAGTCTGCACCAACCAATCATAGCCATCCCCACTAACTAGTCCCTAATCCACCTAATCCCCACCGTCCAATCCACGTCCAGTTATCCATACCCAGCCAATCCTTACCTCTTGCCCAACCAAACCCCCGTCAACCAATCCTTGCCCAACCCAAACCACCAACCAATCCTTACCCAAAATCCCCAATCAACCAGTCCCTAATCAAACCGATCCTTACTCTAACCAATCCTTATTCCAACCAACCCCACTAACCAATCCTTATTCCAAGCAATCCTTAACCAACCAACCCACCACCCAATCCTTAACCCCAACCAATCCTTCACCCAACAAACCAATCTTTATTCCAACTAATCCTTAACCCCACCACCCAATCCTTAACCCCAACCAACCCCACCACCAATCACCCCAACCAACCCCACTAACAATCCTTATTCCCCCCAATCCTTAACCCAACCAACCCCCACCTCCTCGAACATGACGATGGCCGTGTGCTTCCTCAGCCCCTCCCTGAAGCTCGTCCGGACCTCGTGGAGGAAGTGGCCCAGCTCGTCGTCCTCCTGGTAGGATGACACGTCGTCGGGGTAGTCGCAGTCCTGGGGGGGAGAGAGAGAGGGGGAAGGAAAAAGGGGTTTTAGAGGACGGGTAGAATGGGGGGGGGGAAGGGGGTTTTAGGAGGACGGGTAGGATGTGGGGTGCGTGGTTGGTTGTGTGGGTGTGGGTGGGGGAAAGGGAGTGTTGGGGTGGGTTTGGGAGTGTGTTGTGGGGCGGGGAATGTGGGTGTGGGGTTTGGGTGGGTTTGGAGTGTGGTGGGGTGTGTGGGGGGTTGGAGTTGGGGGGGGGGTGCGTGTGTATTGGGTTTATTGTTGTTTTGGGAGCCTAATGTACTTGCGCTGGGTCTGTCTGTGTTGTGTCTGTGCGTGTGTTTGACTGATATGGGTCGTATGTCAACGCTATCTGTGTAAACATTTAAATATTTGTCTCCTGCTAGACTCGGAAGTAATCTTGAATACTGAATACGAGATGTTCTATAAAACCAGACAAAACCGAACAACAGAAACAAAAACTGACAAAGAAAAATGAATAAAGAGAAAGCATCCTTACAGAAGGCACGGCTCCCTCGCGTTCTACCAAGCGCATTCAATCTCCATGACCTTTCCGGCGCTGGCCCAAGGTCTGAAGACGCTCTCCGAGGAGGTCATTGCCGCTGCCTCGCCCGCTCGCATCCTTCCCCCCCCCCCTCAGCCCTCTCCCCACCAGACCCTCCTTCGTCAAGTTTCAAAGTGATCGATTATCGACCGCGGCGGGAATCCGAGCAAAATGTCAGGCTCCGAAACGCACGAAGGACGAAACGGCGCCATGAATGAAATTGTTACATTATCATCATCATCATCATCATCGCCCGGACTTCCTTCATCGTAGCTGGAGTCTTGCCGGCTTGGGATTTATATGCACTTGATTCAGTTTACGCAAGTTATGCATGGATGAATAGGAGAGGCACAGCATGCTTATTGACGTTCCTGGCTGACAGGATGGCAGGCAGGAACACTTTACTGGACAATACTATCAAACTTTGTAAAAAAAAAGTCTTACAACATACTTTATCTACTCATTTATTTATTTATTTATCTATTTATTTATTTATCTAATTACTGCTTCTAGTATGACTCATAGTTTGACAAGGGCTGAGGCACCAGGTATTTTCCCTTAATGAATGATATCTATATTGAAAAGCAAGGCCAGAATTCCTGTCCTATGGGTCACGTCCCCAATAACCGCACAGACGTG